CGGCCGGCGATGGTGGAGAAAGAGAGGAGAGGGTGGAGAGAGAGAAGAGAGGGTGAGAAAATGAATTAGGGATTTAGGGTTTCAAATTCTATATAATTTATTTTTTATAATATTTAATTAAATATAATAAAATTGTATCTATTTTAAAAAGTTCTGATTTTTGAAAAAAATAAGATAAAATCTAGTTTTAGAAATTGCATCTCCAAATGTAGGGATAGGTGTAATTTCCACTAATAAATAGCATTATTACTCTATTGGGCCTATTTCTTACACATCGGGAGCAGCCCTAATTGGGCCCAACACAGTAATCCAATTCGATTCATCGTCACGTTTCCGTAACTGGATACCCTTCGACCCTTCCTGTTCACTTTTTCGCCTCTGAAATTCACTCTCTTCTCTGAAATTGAATTATTTCATTATTTGCAGTGTGAACCTCAGAATAGAATCGAAGCAAATCAAATCCTTCACTCTCGTCTCTCTTCAGGTTTGAAATTGTATTTTTCAACTTTTTACAAAATAGGATTTCGCACCCAAATTCCATCATTTCCGCTCCCTCCTGCAAATCACCGCACAAAGAATTGAGGCCATTCTGGAAAAACCATATTTTACCCTAATTCATTATCCCAGAACCGTGAAAAGGTAAAGTATTTTAGCACAAGATTTATTATTTTTTAATGGTATAATCTGTTTGTCGGGTTTTATGTATTTGGGGTTTTTTATTTTTTATTTTTATTTCGGGTTTGGTTTTAGATTTTTTTTCTAGAAATTAGTGTAGTTTTTTTTCCTGCGTTTTGTTTAGTTTGTTTAAATCTGTTTTTTACTTTCAAAGTGAATGCTGACTGCATTGTGGTTAAATTGGGTTCCGAATAGTTGGGATTTAATATTTGGATTCCCAATTTGTGGACACTTGAATAATTTGCAGTTAACTTTTGCGTCTAATGTTGAGGAATATTTGGATTTTTCAGTTTTTGCACTTCAAAGGATGCTACTCCTTTTCTCTTTCTTTTGAGGCCGTGCAATGGTTTTTCTCAATTCTACTCTCTTGGCAATATTATGCACATAGAGGAGTGTATATGATACAAGACTTGGATTAATAACTATTTGGAAAAGAAGAATATTTCGGCTTTTATCAAGCTGTTTGTGGATTTCCTTTTGTCTAGAAGCTTTCCTCCATTAAGTCCATTTTGATTTGCACCTAAACTTGGCCCCCAATTTTTGCTTCGGAAGTTAACTTCAGAAGTTTTGGCAATTTAGAGGAATATTAACTGCATGTTTGGTATGCAATGCTGGATAGACTGGACAGAATAATAAACAATATATTAGGTTTTTTTTTTCCAACTAATATTTGTCCATTGCTATCAAATTCTCATTACCAAACATGCTATAAGAGTTTAGATACCTCAACACCAAGTTGATTGGTAACCATGGAGTCGAGTTAATCTGATTGTGGCATTCTTCACGATTTGAGATTTTGATATGTATATTTTCTCTTTGTTGGGCATGAATCAGTTATGTACCTTTCCTAATGTTTGTTCTGTTGAACAGTGACTTAAACCATGGTTGCAAAGAAAGTAATCACCATTTGTCAGTCGGGAGGTGAATTTGAGACAGATACTGATGGTGTATTTTCTTACAAAGGTGGTGATGCTCATGCTATGGAAATCGATGGTCAAATGAAGTTCAAAGATTTCAAGCTGGAGGTAGCAGAGATGTTCAACTGCAATCTCAGTACTATGTCCATCAAATATTTCCTTCCGGCTAACAAGAAGACACTTATCTCCATCACCAATGACAAAGACCTCAAGCGCATGATTAAATTCTATGGTAACTCTGACACTGCAGAGATATACGTAATGAATGAAGAAATTGTTGATCCTGATGTCTCCAACATGCCTGGCAGTAGGTAGTTCTCTTGCTATCTAGTAGTATAGAATTGTTTTCTTCTGTAGATGATGCAGTTAGGGACATTTTAACTTGCAGGTCGAGTAGGACAACTTTGTCAGAAGCCCCTCCTACTGATGCTTCCCCAGATATGATTATAAATGACATGAATGAGCCTGAACTGCTACTTGATCCCTCTTTCGATGTGGTTGTTGATACTAACCATGTTGAGGCTCTTTTTGATGTACCAACTGAAAGGCCCGTTCGTACTAAAATGCCTGTACCAATTTCATTTGTTGGTTATGATGAAAAAGATGCTAAAGCTGCAGAGCTGTGGCTGAACATTATTACTGGGGTGGGACAAAGGTTCAATAGTGTAAATGAGTTTCGCGAGGCATTGCGTAAATATGCCCTGGCACATCAGTTTGCTTTCAAGTACAAGAAAAATGATAGTCATCGCGTATCTGTAAAATGTAAGGCAGATGGTTGTCCATGGAGAATTTATGCATCAAGGTTGGTGACCACCCAGCTGATATGTATTAAGAAAATGATTCCAACACATACTTGTGAAGGATCTGCACTGACAACTGGCATTCAGGCAACAAGAAGTTGGGTTGCTAGCATTGTGAAGGAGAAGTTGAAAGTTTTTCCCAACTATAAGCCCAAAGACATTGTTAAAGACGTCAAAGAGGAATATGGGGTACAGTTGAATTACTTTCAGGCGTGGCGCGGAAAAGAAATTGCTAAGGAGCAGCTCCAGGGTTCTTACAAAGAGGCATATAGTAAGTTACCACTTTTCTGTGAGAAGATAATGGAAACAAATCCCGGAAGTTTAGCGACTTTCGCCACTAAAGAAGACTCAAGCTTCCATCGCCTCTTTGTGTCTTTCCATGCTTCCCTATATGGCTTTGAGCAAGGCTGCCGTCCTTTGCTTTTCCTAGATGGCATATTTTTGAAGTCCAAATATCAAGGCACACTTTTGGTAGCAACAGCTGCTGATGGGAATGATGGTGTTTTTCCTGTTGCTTTTGCTGTTGTAGATATTGAATCTGATGACAACTGGCATTGGTTCTTACTACAACTCAAAACTGCTTTGTCAGTGTGTCGTGGGATAACTTTTGTGGCAGATAGAGAGAAGGGACTAAAAGAGTCTATTGCTGAAATTTTTCAGAATGATGATGTGTACCATAGCTACTGTTTGACCCATCTCTCTGAGCAATTTATCAGAGATTTGAAGGGGCAGTTTTCTCATGAAGTGAAGCGTCTTATGGTTGAAGATTTTTATGGTGCTGCTCATGCCCCTACCCCTGAAGGCTTCCAAAGGTGTGTGGAAAGCATCAAAAATATTTCGCTAGAAGCATACAATTGGATCATGCAAAGTGAGCCTCTTCATTGGGCAAATGCATTCTTCCAAGGTGCAAGATATAATCACATGACATCAAACTTCGGAGAACTGTTCCAGAGTTGGTTATCAGATGCACATGAATTGCCAATAATCCAGATGGTTGATGCCATCCGAGGTAAGATTATGGAGTTGATTTATACCCGGCAGACAGAATCTAACCACTGGCAGACAAGATTAACTCCGTCAATGGAGGAAAAACTCGAAAAAGAAAACATTAAAGTTAGAACCCTTCAGGTATTAATATCAGCTGGTAACAGATTTGAGGTACGTGGAGATACCATTGAAACTGTTGATGTGGATAACTGTGTTTGTAGTTGCAAGGATTGGCAGCTTACTGGATTACCCTGCTGCCATGCAATCGCTGTCATTACTTGTGTTAACCGTGATCCATATGATTATTGTTCTAGATACTTCACAACTAATAACTATAGAGTAACCTATTCACAGTCAGTACATCCTGTTTCAAATATAGATGGGCCCTGGCTGAAGGGCTCTTCTCAGTTGGCAGTGGCTGTAACCCCTCCTCCAACTCGTCGTCCACCAGGCCGGCCTACTACTAAGAAAATTGGCTCACAGGATGCAGCAAAACGTCAACTTCAATGCAGTAGATGCAAGGGTAGTGGGCACAACAAATCAAGTTGTAAAGAGCTTTTGCTGGAATGATACACTGTGTAAGTATACTTTATGACGTTTTTGGCTGCATCATTCACATTTATCTATTCAAAACATCCCTTAACATATCAGATGACTTCCATTCATTAGCACACTGTATTCACCAGAGTGGAAAGGAACATCTGTGCATATATACTTCATTTACTGTTCATAATGTGAACATATGCTTGATCTATGTAGATCTTCCTTCATTGCTTTCTTTTTAACATCCTGCTTCTGCACTAATGTAGAAATTCTGGCTAGTGTTAGTCTGTCTGTTAGATTTACATTCGGCATGTTGATTAGTCTGCCTATCATTTCAATATGTTATATGCTGTTTGATTCAAATTGGACTTATTACATGCTTATATGCCATCTAGATTACATTTTTTTGTAATCAGTTGCTATTTGCCATATTATCCAACAATATTACTGATAAGTATTATCTTATCCCAATACCATTTGTCTGTAGTCGCCTGCCATGTTTTTATTCACCTTCACTGTCAAGTGGTTCAGAGTGAGGTTTTCTCCCTATCCTATAAAGAATGAGCACTCCTAGACACTCTGAGACATATGTCCGACAAGCCAAGTGTTTCATCAATCAAAACAGTGCTAATGGCGAAAAAAACCTTAGATGAAGAATTTACTTTTCAGTTTTCTAATCTTAAGTAACACACTTTCTCTTATTAAATACGTGCTTAGTTAGGGAAAACATAGTTGTCTAGTTGACTTACTTTTATTAAAGGGCCAAGAAGCTTGTTTTATTGGTTAGGTGCATAGGCGATTTTTCTTTTTTAAAGACAGAGACATGCTCTATTAAATATATCAATCAACTGGGAGGGAAAAAAATAATTTAGCCTTCTCTTTTTCTTGAAAGAATGCAACTTTTCTTTATAACCAATAAAATATTTTTTAATTATCAAGCAATCGTCCCTTTTACACTTTGAAAAGTGGGGCACCTAACTTTTACGGTATTAATATTTTAGTTGCTTTACACTGTATAGTTGAAAAATGGCTTTAAAAATTATTTAATGTGTTGACGACATGTCGCATTGTTACTTTTCATAAAATTGCATGTCGGCTTGTCTGTGCTTCATAGGTATATGCCTTAGCTGTGTTAGGCACATGCCTCAGGGCTTTGTGGCCCACAAAATATTCTGATCGATCCTTTTTGTGTATAGCTCAGTACCCACCAAATCATTAAGAAATTAATTTTATAAACGTGCTTTGGGAATAGTATACTGCCCTGTCCCCACCAACTAAAAGAATAATTTCTCTCTTTATAGATTTTTCTTTTATTTGTTTGCAAACTTTAAATTGTTCTATTATGGATTTTGAAGATTGCTTACGTGTATTATGAGCTTATTTTGCATTGTAATAAAACTTTGATATTTTTTTGGTTTACAGTGAGGCATATGCCTAAAACCAATTGAGGCTTATGCCTCGCAAAGGAAAAATGATCGAGTACCTGATTATGCAAACATTGCTTATCCCCCCGACAAAGTAGAGCATGGATGGCTGTTCTTAAAAGTTACTTTTTTGGATAAAATCTATTTATTAGAAAAGCGAGATTTGTTAGTAAAAAATGTAACTTCGAAAATCATGTTTGGAAAAATAAGGAACTTAAAAGTAAGTTTGACTTATTATACACAGCTAAACATGCTCTAAGTTGCAGTTGAGGGCAGATTCTAGGTCATAAGCCCGTCTATGATACCAGCTCCTTGCCTAGTCCCGTGCTGGACTGAATTGGCTTTGCCGTCGGGAGGGGTTGAGAAGGCTTCTTCTTCAGGTTCACATAGTTGAAGAACATAAGCGGTTGTATCAACAAAAAAATGGAATCTGGCCTTTTTTGGCTTCATCTCAGACTTCAAATCTCAAATTTCACAAAGCGAGACTCCAGCTCTAGAGCATATGATGCTTAACTACTATCTAATTATGACCTTTTGATAACTAGCGACGTATCTTTGCTGGCTTAGTTTTTTGACTTGTTTTTCTTTCAGATTTTCTACGAAAAACCAGAACTTCTTTGCATAGACCTTCATACCCTACCTGACTAATACGTTACAGTAATCTGGTCACATTTACTATGTTAGAGAAATCATTTTGTTCAGCATCTATTAGGAAAGTTGAGTTCTGGAAAAATTAGTTGGTAAGATGTGGGACTACTATGGCAGCTTATGCTACGCCTTATATGAAAAGTCGTATAAAATGTTTCCTCAACCAAAGTGGTTTCTTGACAAGTACTGGTGAATAATCACATGAAGGGGTGATCAAGAATGGCCTTGAAAATGCATTTGACGTGGATAAGATTACATTGAGATCTTAGGCAGACCGGAGCATGTTTTTGCTTTGACAGCAATCTTGTAATGGAGGTGGTCTTAGGCAGACCAGAGCATGTTTTTGCTTTGACAACAATCTTGTAATGGAGGTCTAGTTTGAAACTGGGTTTGGTGTATGCCATTAGATTATCGAAAGATGATATTGTTTTACATTCACTTCAAGCCAACGATGTATTTTTAACATCTTGCTGGCTTTTAATAAGTTTAATTATGTTTTTATTCCATGGTGTGGTGCTGTTTAACAATTTAATCTGTATTCTCTTTCGTGCACAGGGTCGCTCTAATGGTGAATCAACATCTTCGACCGGCAATATTTTCTGGTGTGTTTAATTCAAGTCTCACCTAGTTCATCATTCCTTTGATCATTTATCTGACTTCAGGTTCTTAGTAGTCAAATGATGTTGATAATGGAAGGAGTCTGAATGCTATTCAACGGCATCCTTTGCAGCATGTTCTTATAGTTCTTAGAAGGCTGATGGTATGTACATAATAACAAACTTCTGTTACCACTTTCTTGCCTGTATGATGTAGAACTTTCCAAATATGCATGTGATCCTTTTTTTTTTTTTTCTTTTTTTGTGGGCTACTAATTCAGCCTTCAGCTGTTGGTGAATAATTCCGCTTTAGAAAGCAAATACATCCTGGCGTGATTAGTAAAGTGGACAGTATTAGGTAGTAATAAACAAGAAAAAGAAGATTTGGCCGTTGAACTGTCCAGTTCAGAACTGCACTCTTTAGCCAAAGACGCCCATCTTTCTTCTTGTATCATATATCATTAGTTGTCCTCGAATTTATGTATGTGAGATCGTGTTGATGGCTTGCAAGTGAACTTGAGAAAGAGGAAGGCTCGAAAGAGAAGCTCGAGTCTTTTAGTAGAAACTATTAGCAATCCTTTAGGATAAGACTTATTAGCTCCTTATTCTCTTGACTTGGGGTAAATATTAATTTGCCGAGATTGGAAGTTGAGATGGTAGGCTCTTGTTCACTTTTTGGTAAATTATGCCCTTAGTGTGGAGGAAAGTGAGATTGAGTACAAAACTAAGGGTGCAAAATGGCATTTCGAATTTTGACCAAATTAAAAAAATAATAATAATATCCCCTCCATATGAGGGAGGTATAAAAGGCCTTGTGTACACAGCATTATTCATATTATTATTATTATTATTATTATTATTATTATTATTATTATTATTATTATTTATTTATTTATTTTGAAAAATTTCATTTCGCCCTATATAGGTTTCATTTTTTTACAATTTATTTTTCTCAAATTCATTTTCAACACTCCATTCTTCCATTAAAATAACTTTGCTCGTAAATTTAATTTTTTCTACTTTTTAATCACATATTTTTCAAAATAATCATTTTTTTTACAAAAGATTCTCAAAAAATGGGATTAATATAAGGGCTTCGTTGCACATAAAATGCAATCATGTACAACAGTAACCGACGATTTTGAAGAGTGCATGCGAGATTGCATTCCAGAGTTCGATTTGTGTAGTTATGAAAATAAAGAAGAGAAGATCTCACAAGTTCATAATTTGACAATTAGTGTGGTTGAGAGGGTCTTTTTAAAGTTCAAAAGCACTTCTTTGAACAAAGTGTTTTTTGTTACAATAATGAATATATCTCGAAGTCAAATTGTAGCTTTTCAAAGTTGTTTTGGAGAAACTCAAATACGAACCTTCTCTAAAAGGAAATTCGACCTAGTTTGATGGGCTTTAAATTTCACGGAACTTGGAATTTAAGTTTCATTTTTCACAAAATGACTTATTTGAGGGTTAATTTCACAAACGGTCACTGAACTTACCTAAAAATTACGAAACGATCACTAAAGTTTCATACACTTTCACAAACGGTTACTGAACTTATTATTAGGACTTGATGTTGTTAATTCAAACTTAAAGGACTAAAACACGTTGATGTAGAAGCTTGAGGACCGCCATTGAAGAATAATGGTTGCACGATCACCACCTATGGGGCCAAAATCAACCACCTTCTGGCCACCATGGCCGCTGGACGCTACCACCAATAAACTCACCTCATTGCCCTCTACCACACCCACCCCACCGTCGCTTTCAAACCCACTGGAATTAGCAGCAAAATCGGTTAAAAAAACCAAATATGCCGAACTCTTCTCCTGTCGGAAATCACCATTCCGGCGACACCCATGGTTGTGCATCACATCCGGTAATTAGCCCTCATCTAGACGATCACAACCATGGTCATACATCAACCAATAATGCCCCCAATCGGCCTGAATTAAATCTGCAAATTCTGCCAATCGCGCAGCTTCATGTTCGGGAGCTGTCTTCCTCAATTCCTTATCCCCACAACATTGAATCCTCAAATTGGCCCCAATCGAGTCTTCAGCAGCCACATACGACCATGGGTAACATGTCAATTGCACCAATTGATTCAGAAACCGCAACAATTTTTGAACCCAAGTCCGACCCCTTCTCGCGCGAACGGAAAAGGGCCTNAAATTTCAGTAATTGATTCTGCAAGTTTTAAACTTCAGTGACCGTTTTGTAATTTTTAGGTAAATTCAGTGACCGTTTTTAAAATTAACCCCTTATTTGATGTGTGAAATTTGGATGAGAATTGGTCTTCTTGATCTGCACCCACGCGCCTTGTTTTCCCTTATTTTGGCCAATTTTGTGGGAATTGATATTCCAGTTGACTGCCTTCTTTTTGGCAATTGAAACAAATTTCATAACAATTGTAAAAAAAAAAAATTTATTTTAATGGACAATTTTCATGTGAAACAAAGCCAAACGAACACTAAATTTTAATTAAAAAAATGATTTTTTAGGAAAAAGAAATTTCCTTTTTTTTTTTTTTTGACTTTTTGGTAATTGAAACAAATTTTATGACTAATTATGAAAAAAATTATCATTTTAATGAACAATTTTCATGTAAAACAAATCCAAATGAATCCAAAATTTTAAGATTTTTCAGGTGAAAAATTATACAAATTAAATACACTTAATTAACAATTTTCTACAAAATTATTTCTAGGTAATTATTTTCTCTAGAATTCATTTTCTTTTTACCCATTTTTCATCTTTGCAATCAAAAGGACCCTCCATTTTTTTATGAAAAGCTGAAATTTGTATTTAATGAATTTTTTAAAATTATTTAATATATAAATTTTTCAAATGAACAATTAGCGTCATAGGATAACAAATCTTTTGATGTTTCGATGAAATATTACATTAACTTGTGTAACTTAAATATTAATTTGCACAGTTATGACATATATTTATCTTTAATTATTATAATAATTTTTGAAGTTATTAGCTTTAGCCCGTGTTTAAGCTCCCATTTTGGGTGGAAAAAAAATGTATTTTGAATAGTAATTTTTAAAATAATGTGTAATTAAATAATAACAAGAAAATTTTGATTTGTGTATAAAATTATTTTATTCGAAAATATATGATTGAAAATGATTTTTTGAAAAAATGGGACTCAAACAAGGGCTTGATTTATGTATAACGCAACAAATATATGTTATATGTTCGTGTAAAAATATCTAATAGAAATTGCACATCAATTTTAATTTAGACAAATATATTTTAAATAATGTATACATTATAGTAGAGTCATGAGAATTTAAAATTTTAATTTAATTTCATAATAAAATAGACGAGTCTAAATGATCATAGATGAATTTTTAATCAAGTTCTTGTGACCAAAAATAAATAAATGCCAATTTTTCATTTTTCTACTTTCAATTTTTAAAGGCCTTCAAATGATTGAATCATGTTACATGAACATCATTGTTGACATAAATTTTGACATAATGTTACATGACATTTTATTATTTGATAATTTAAAATATAGTCAGTTTTTCTATTCAATCTATTGTCACATACAATTATGTCAAATCCTTCTAACAAAATAACTTTATCCCAAATGATTATAAGATTACTGTATTTTAAATAATCCAATGATATTGTAATATTATGTCAACATTCTATCAGTATAACATAATTTTTATGGGATTATGTGCCACCATTTGATTTAGATAAAAATTAGAGTTTTAATAAATTTTGATGAACGTTGTAGAATATGTTGTTAAAAAATTGTTAATCCTATAAAACATATGATTAAAATTAATTATTAATTTTGACTTAAATTTTAATCTAAATTTTTAATTGAACCAAATAAAAGTTGACTAAATTTTCATTAACAATGCTTTTTTGGATTAAAATTCAAAATCACTCTGTTTTGTCTCGTTTCTTCTCAACACTTCCTCTCACGAAGGACCAAAGTAGTGAAAAAGAACGATCTATTAGAATAATTGCCCATCGAATCTTGTAAACTCAGTAGTTGGGTACCTAAGAACATCTCTAACATCAATCTAAAATAGAGATTTAAATCTCCAATCGTCGAAAATCTCTCAAATAAAGAGATGCAAAATTTTATATTCACAAGAGTTAAAAAGTGGATTTGTATCTTTTCACTTAGCAAAATTCGGATTTAAATTCATCGGAATTTAAGTGAAGATGCAAAAATGATTTTGAAGATATCAATTTACATCCAATTTTATATCACCACTAGAGATGCTCTAAAAGTATAGGTGCTTTAAATTTTAACACCACAATTTGGAGCCACTAGACCAGTACCAGGGCAACCCTGTACCAAGATAATGGACCCAACTTCAAGAATAAGCACCAACCACACAAGGAAAAAAAGGGGGGGGGGGGGGGGGGGGGG